TTTCTCAATTTAAAAATATTATTACAGATAGAAGGCATAAATTTACCGAAGAGAATATCAAATTTCATGTTATTATCAAATATAATTCATTTTTAAATGCATAATTATTGTTTTAATGTCAAAATAAGATAAATTTTAACTCCCGATTTTTTCCCGAATTTGACTGTTTCATGTTCCCGAATCCCGCCCGAATTTGGGTGTTTTAACTCCCGAAAAATAGAGACTCTAGTTATAACATTTTAGCCTTATTGTAAAGGGTTTAACCTTTATAATAATTACATTTTGATATCAATTACTTATTAAATATGCTTATATAAAACACTTATATAAGTTAAAATCACTTATACAATATTTAAAATAATAAGTATTATATTTAATTCAATTTATTTTATTTTTCCTTATTAAAGCAAAATACGTGATTATTTGTTTAATATTTAGTAATAACATAATGCAAAAATAATTACTAATCCAACAATTTAGAAAAGATGTTCAAATCTCGCCCAATCAATACTGTTTCCTATAGGCCTGCAGTCATATTCTTAACACTAATCACATTTGGTTCGTATAATACGCGCGCCGTTTGCTGTCTATCGTAATAGTCATATACAGTGATGGGAACCGCTTTATTGTTGGCCACTCTATGCACTCTATGGGCGCCTAAAGTCACGCCTATGTCTTCGCCAGTTATCTACAAAATAAAGTAAAATTCATTAATAAATAAAGAAATAATATATTTTAAAAGACAGACTTTTTCGAAATAAATGATAACATTTGTGTCGCCTTTTGTCGTATCGATACGTTTGATGAGTGAGTCGAGGGCCGGGAGACTGTCCTTATCGGCCACAAACCCTGAGGGAAGTTCCACTTCCATTACCGCCATATTTGTCGCATTTCCTTCCAATAGACTGTCAAATGTTTAAACATATTTGAATTAAACTTAAAAAAACTCTACAAAATATTCTGTACGTAATGGCCACTCACTGTGTGCTAACGTTGAGTCGCATATAGTTATCGGTCGACGTGTTGTCCACCACTGGTTTCAAGAAGAAGGCGGGCTTTTCCGCATCATTGGCCAAATTGTACTGATAGGACACCTGTACTATAGCCGCGCCAACCCCTCGGGCCTCGATCTCGGCGTTAGTGGTATTTGCGGGCAATTGTATGCGCTGTAAGACCAATGAGTTTGTGTCGTCAATCTTCAACTCCTCGACTTTAGCCTCGGGTGACATGTATTTAACCATAACATCTATTGAGGGCTTAGTAGTGGACAACTTCTGGGCCAACGCTCCCAACGCCTGAATGCCAATCACAGTGTCCTGAGTGGAGGCGAACCCTCCGTTTGAGTTTTGCTTTGAGATAAGCCATCGAAGGACCGGAACTGTTGTCTCCAAATCACTTTTGCCGACTAATGTCAACAAAGTATAGGCCGTCGACTCCACGGCATACGAGTTCGGGTAATGACTATTGCCTCCAAAGGGCACGAGTTTAGGGCTATAATCAGTCACTCCCTCCGACTTTTGGTCACTCGCTTCCCACCACTTGTATTCGCCACTGTTTTTGGATAACGCCATCAGTTTGTCAAACGCCTGACCGGCGGCCGGACTGTCAGCCAAATGCAACGCGTGGGCCATAATAGACAAGTCGTACGGGTTTTGAGTTTCATTCAATGCATTTCGTATATAAGTCTCTGCCTTAACAAAGCCATCACTTTTGACTGTGTTATTGTCACCCCTTGTCTTTGGCTCCTGGAGTATAGCGATGAGCACATAGGCTGTGAGCACAGCCTTACCCCCAGTGGACCCGCCTTGCATTGCCTTATGCAACACAACTCCCGGTTCCTCGAAATAGCCGTCAGAGTGTTGGCGTTCAAAGAGCCAATTGATGGCCCCATCGATCACTTTCTGGTCAATCTCTGTCACACCCTTTGCCTGAATGAACGACTTGAGCACAAACGCCGTGAGCCAAGTGCTGCCGTTGCGGTCACTGTTGCCAAAGGCGCTGAACGATCCGTCCTCTCGCCTATACGTCAGTTCCCTTTGATATCCGCTCTCAATATTCTTCAACGCCTTCTGTCGTAGAGTTGGTGTCAAACGATTGGTTGCTTTCAAGTAATTCAATACAACGATATTCGGCACAAAATTACTGTAAAATACAAAATAATTGTAAACACAAAGAATATTCTGTTAAATGATAATTCAGTTCATAACTTACAGCATATTCTGTTCTCCACATCCGTATGGCATACGAAGCAAATCATCCAAATTGTTAACCGCCGGACCCATAATGTCTCCGATGGCCGACACCGACACCCTCTCAGAGCCGGGCACTGCGTTGGCGGGCATTGAGATCGACATGTTTTTCTTAACCGACGGTTTAGGAGCGCCTGCATTGGCGTTGGCATCTGGTCTGAGATCGACGAGCAATGCTTTATTAAAATACTGTGTCTGACCCTCGGGTTTGACCACCAGTTTGTCGAGCACTGAGTCTCCGGCGCCGGCAGATGTGGTGGCCGTTAATTGTATGTCAATATAGCCCACAGTTTTGGGAGTAATCACGTACTCGACGGACACCCCATCGTTGGCCGGAATCTTGATTTTCTTTCTCATTTCAGTGCCCGACTGGCCGTCGGCCGATCGGGTGGACCGACCGTGAAGTTCATTACCGGTATCTGTGAACTCAAATTCACCCTTTTTATTGTTCATCACAACTTCGGTCTCAATCTCTTTGTTCATGTAATTGAAAACAATGGCCTTCAGTGCCACCGATTCGCCCCTTATTATAGAGTAAGGCAGCGATAGTTTGATGAAAAATGGCCGGAAAACTGTCACCTAGATTCAATTATCATAATTATAAATTTATTATTATGCTAAACAAGATTAATTATTCAATAGTTAATACTTTTGCACTTTTGTCAGCGATTCCCAGACCCGTCTCATTGTCCATTGCGAACGCGCTGATAAACCACGAGGTGATTGTGTCGGGTATAGGCTTAGTAAACGCGGCGCTTCCGTCGGACCTAAAATTAATGTTATTTATTAATTGAATAAATATATTTGTGACAATACAAGCACACAATAGAGTTGACCGAAATAATACCATGCATTTGTTAGCTAACCGTATGTAAAGCATTAAAATAAACTGGGTGATTATTTGTAGTGAATGAGTGTAAATAAGCGAGAGTATTAGTGAGTGAGATTGTGTGTGAGTTAGAGAGTAAGTGAAAGTGAGAGAGTAAGTGAGTGAGTGAGTGAGTGAGTGAGTGGATCC